CCCCAAAACCCCAAAACCCCAAAACCCCACAATGTTATAATAAAACTTATTAAGATATAGATATTATTATAAAATAATTAGGGAGATATATTTACCATATTATAATCATTATTGTAATATTATCGATGGAAAGTACTTTTGATTAATTGTTGAGCTATGCTATCATTGATAGTGCCTACTTTGTCACTTATCTAGCAGTGGCAACCTTTGTCTTCGTCAAAACTAGATTCTCACTTGACTAATTTTCTAAAAAGACCATGATTCTCTTGGCAGCATCATTAGGTCGTAATATTTCCTATTTTATTTTATATATTTTATTCTTAGTGAAAGTTGCAGTTTGGCTCTCAGCTGCTATCTACTGGAATAATATTAAGGTAAATTAGCTATTGAAAATATTTTTTAGCATAAAGGAACTTGGAGTATATTGATAAATTTACCTTGGATATGCGAGATATTAATGACATCTATGTTTTATACTATTGTTACCTGCTTTGTTTTTAAAATGTATACATTTTAGTCTAAAAATATTTATAATAGGATGGAAATACGTAAGTTACTTAGTGAAAATGGCCTAGAAAATTTTAAAAGTTACAAAAGAAGTCTTTTTATCAAGAAATACTTGTTCTTGATATTTTATTTTATCAACATATTTATGATTGCGACAATTCGAATTCTAATTGACTCTCATAAAACTGAGTAAGACTTTGCTCGATATTATCTACTGTAAGTCATTCTTGAAATTTTAATTTAAACCTTAGGTTTACCGAAATGATAAGATTTGCCCCGGATTTTTATATTGTGTTTTAATTTACCAAAGATTTTAAGTTCTTTAAGAATATCCGGTATAAAAACCTAAAGCTAAAAAATAAATCTTGGACTCTTAAGGATAAAATGGTCAGTTATATTTTCACTTTAATAATTATAGGTAATAAGTGTTATATGGATAATGATTCTGTTTTACTCATTCTTATTTATCATAAGAGATTTGATTTCACCAACTGTCTATTTCCAAAATTAATATAGCTAAGATTTTGAATTGTCTAATAATGTAAGAAGAATCAAGATATATTTCTATGATGTTGGGGATTTTCTCATTGCTATAATGATTTTAAAGTAATTCTATGAGCAAAATATGAGATGTAAACCTATTAAAAAAAAGAGATAAATTTTAGTCAAGAAAGATAAAAGTGAGTACTCTGGTGAATCATAACTTTTGGAAAGGAAAAATTATGATACTGAAGAAATCTAACATATATTAGAATAAACTTTTACAACTGGTTAAAAGAGCTTAATCAAAGATAAAAGTTTTAATTAGACTAGTTCCCAATAATCAAATCTAATGAGTTCAGGAGAGAAATCATTGATGAAGCAATCGGAAAACGAATCTGATGAAAATTAATATTCCCAGCTTAAAAAATACAAATCACGAGAAAGAATAAAGAAAAATATAGAAAAGGCTAGCTAAATTAGCATGGTTAGTGATGGTAGTTTCATAAATCCAATTGGCACTGTAATTACATCCAAACAACAAGCAAATACAACAGCTGATAGATAATTCTTGCACAGTGTTGAATCAGATTCAGATGAAGATAATGATGGAATCAACAACTGCTCCGATCAATTTAGTTTGTTTCTTTCAAACTTTGATAAATCAAGAGCAATGGTCATTAAAAACCTTCTTAAGTAGGAAGCGAGAGAGAAGTAAAGGCAGAATAAATGACTATAATTGATTTAGAATTTATATCTGCTAATCAGAGCTATATTGATAATGTAATATAGGTTAATTTTGATTAATTATCAATAAGTTAAAATTGTGAATTATAATAATTGATTAATTTAATAAATATGAGTTTCAGCTGGAACTATCTCACCAAGAGATTCGTGCTTCAAAACTACAGAGATTTCATCGCCGTTAGTTTGATAACTTCTTTCGCCACCAGCAAGCTCTTCGCTCATTTTTCCAAGTCTGCAGACAATTACTATATTTTGGTAAATTAAAATGATAATTTTGATTATTAAATTACAGCAAAGAGTCTACACTCATGATGAGACTGATATTAACTTCAAAAATCCATTGAACAAGACTGACTAAGCAGTTAGAAGGGAGAAGTTATTTGCTTTTAGATAGCATGTTCTTGAGAATAGAGCTAAAAAGGAAAGAGAGTAAGAATAAAGAAATTCAATTAATTTCAAATAGGATGATGCTAGATGCTTATAATCATTTAAATGGGAGAAATCACTCAGCATGATAGGCAGAATAAGGACTGGTGTGATTAAAGCAAGATGAGCAATCTAATGCAGACTTCATTGATTTTAATGGGATATTAACTCATAGAATGAATGAATTAGCATATATTTAAAATAACAACTTTAACATGAGATAATTTATTTAAAACAATCTCACTATCAATGCTTATTTAAGAAAGTACTTCTATTCAAAAGAATCCAATGTTTATATTTATAAAGCCCTTCCTCTCGAAATCTCCCTTTTGTGAATTGAAATTAAATGCATTATAGAACAATAGAATGCTAATTTATTAATTCATTGGCATTGAGAAGCCAAAACCAGCAGAAAATCTTGTAAATTTCATCAATTACTTGGCTATATTCATTTCTTATCCAATTTAATTTTGTGGATAAAATGCAGCCTCTAAGTAAGTAAAAGTTTTCATCCCAAAAGAGTTGAGGAATGGAATATCTAAAAATTCCAACCTTGTCTAGATTAGACTGTAATAATTGCTCCCTAAATCATCTCCCGTAATCTTCTTCTTATAATTGCTACTCTCATCTTACTAAATTACTGCATTGCTATTAGAATGGTAAATATGGCCTAAATGAGTATATCCGAAAGAATTAGTCAAGAAGAATCTATCATTTATTGTTGTTTTTTTGCATCCCAAGGTGGGTATAACAAATCCTCCTTATAAAATTCCAGTCAATTTTAGTTTGTTTGGAATAATGCTTAATGTTTTAGCTAAAAAGCCATCAAGTTTGAAGAAGCTTGGCATCCCATGATAATGTCCTAAACCCTCAGGAATAGCCAATTCAATTGATCCTTTTTAATATAGATCATTGTCAAATTTTAGAAACTCTAAACCAATAGATTATTTCTCTGATAGCATTATTTCATCTTTGAGGTATTCTTTGGATGAAAATTTATCTATTAAATTTTTGCGGTGAGTTGTGTCTAATTTCAGCTTCCAATTACTATCTGATTTTCCAAGTTTCATTATCAAAGATTTCTCTTTAGAAATAAACTTGGATTACTTATGATCATACTCATAACTTAACTCAGCATCGTAAGATTAATTATCAACAAAAAATGTGTGAGTATGAGTGAAGTACCTTCTTAGTTAATCAAGAGAATTCTTTTAAATACCAAATGTTGTTTCATCATGATCACTTAAGATCCTTCTCAGACCTAATTTGATTATTCTTAAATAAATTACAGAAGCTAGATTTCAAACCATCTGTGAAAGCACCAATATTAAATGAAAATCGATGTTATTTTCCAGAATTACCCTAGGCTGATAAGGGAATCTCTTGTTGAGTCTCTTGGAAACGAGATTCATCAAATACCTTAAAGGCCTCGTTTTATTTAAAAGACATTGCACTTATTTATGGAATTAATATTATTTTAAGAATTAAGGATCAAAATATTAATTCATTGAAGTTACCAATCCATTTACGGTTATCAGGGTATTTTATTCCTCTATTTTCCATGCATGTCACAATGCTGTTTAGTCTCTTTTATTTTCGTGATAATTTTATTTTCTTAGGCTCTGCATTCTTAAGTTTCTCCAAAAAGTGTTTTTTCTCTTCATCATTCACTACTTTCTTTTATTCTTCTTTGTATTGATTGATCATAGCACTCTTGTAGAAATTAAATTTTTAATTTGATATTTCAGGAAGGTTATGCAAACTATGATGCTGTGTCTTATGAATCTCATCAGTATTGTTTTTATCTGCTTCTTCTACGTCTCCTGAGACAACAAACATTTATTAGGCTATCTAGTGCTAGCTTAAGTAGTAATCTTTATTCAATTATGCTAAAATCGAAAGAGGTTCTTAGATTCGCTTTTTATCTTTAAGGAAAATATATTAGCTAAATACTGTATCATAATGATATCCTGGCTTTATAACAGACTGATCTTCATGGCAAAACACTCCACTACATAAAACTTTAGGTTCATTATCCTACTCTACACTATCATTATCAATGGATTAGGCTCTCAATTTATATTTAATTTTAGGTTTTAGAACTGATGAATTCGAGTTGAAATCTTTGAGAAGTACTGAAGAGGATTTTATTGAATTTAATCCAGATGTAATAGCTAAGAAATCTTCTCCTTGTACTGTCTTCTTTTTATACTATTATTCAATCATACTTTTAGTATTGAGAAGTTTAAGCTATCTGGACTTTAATCTTTGGTGAATTTATTCCTCAACTTGTTCAGTGGAGAGTAGTTTCGTTTATAGTGTTTCATTTTTAAGCAGACTTTAGTTTGATGAAGGTATAAGACTTTCTAATTAAATTTTTGGAGTTTCTTGTTTTGGTTGAAAGAATTGAATTTCTACATTATCTTGTATTTTTGGTTGCTGCTATGGAGTATTGCTTGATTTTATAGATAGCTTATCATGCTATTTCAAAGTCAAGGTCTATTATTCCTTTAATTTTAATGAAAGCATTGATGATTGCTTGGTCAAAGGGAGGTTTACCAAAATATGCCTTTGCTTTTTCTATCTTTTGCATTATTACGAAACTAATTTAGAGTTAGAGAGCATTCTTTTTTTAGATATTTGATCTTCTAATACACTTAGTCCTCCATTTGAATTTAATATTTTAGAAGGGTTAGACTTTATCTACTATCTGAAATTTGTAATTTACTCAAATTTTTACTGTTGAACTTTTTAATTATTTAGTTTGCTCATACTCCACAATTTGTTAATCTGGTGACTGCTGTTCCTGATAACCTAAGGATCATTTTCTATACCCAACTCTTTTAATGAATCATGAACTCTTCGCTTTTAAGCTTGATTTGGACTGACTGACTCTTACGTTGATTATCTAAGAAAAATTGAGCCTTAATTTTTGGAACTTGAATTTTTATTGAATTTCATAGGACTAGTTCCCTTATCTGATAACGAGATCATAGAATCCATAGTATCTTATCTCTTGATTGATTTAGCATGAGATATTGGCAAACTTTCTTAGTGTTATTATAATATTTCTTATTGAAATGGAGTAATGCTGATTGATGAGTGTCGATATTGATGATTTTTATTCATTTTTATTTAACTTATTTCTAAGGCTATAATTTAAGTATTACTTTAAATATAACAATTTTTAAATATTTATAGCTAATGTTTGTTTTTGGGGTTTTGGGGTTTTGGGGTTTTGGGGTTTTGGGG